ATGTTATTGGTTTTTCAAAATTTTTAATTTTAAGATTGCTTATAAATATTCATCTGGTTAACTAAAATTCAGGCAGACAACATCAAGTAACGCAATTCAATGTCTAGTAAACAAAAGTCAGTAATCATGAATTTTGAAAAAATTATTTATGCAAATTAGTATTTAAATTATTTTAGTTTGGGATTAATTTATATGTATATTTTGAATAACATGAGGTTATGAATATAACTGTTTTCTTTTATGTTATTCATCATCTTCTGTCTTCTTAAATCTTGTTTCTTTCTTGTCCTTTTCCCTATTCCTCCTCACTAAAGTCTCCTTTCTCTTTCACTCCCAGTAACCCCTTGCATCTTAGTGGCATTATCACCATCCTCTGTCTTCCTGAGACCTGTTCTTTTATTGTCCTTTCTCCTTGCTAAACTCTTCTCATTCTCTTTCACTCCCAGTAACCCCATGCGTCTTAGGGGCATTATCACCATCCTCTGTCTTCCTGAGACCTGTTCTTTTATTGTCCTTTCTCCTTGCTAAAGTCTTCTCATTCTCTTTCACTCCCAGTAACCCCATGCGTCTTAGGGGCATTATCACCATCCTCTGTCTTCCTGAGACCTGTTCTTTATTGTCCTTTCTCCTTGCTAAAGTCTTCTCATTCTCTTTCACTCCCAGTAACCCCATGCGTCTTAGGGGCATTATCACCATCCTCTGTCTTCCTGAGACCTGTTCTTTTATTGTCCTTTCTCCTTGCTAAAGTCTTCTCATTCTCTTTCACTCCCAGTAACCCCATGCGTCTTAGGGGCATTATCACCATCCTCTGTCTTCCTGAGACCTGTTCTTTTATTGTCCTTTCTCCTTGCTAAAGTCTTCTCATTCTCTTTCACTCCCAGTAACCCCATGCGTCTTAGGGGCATTATCGCCATCCTCTGTCTTCCTGAACACTGTTCCTTTATCGTCATTTTCTTCTTTTCTCACTATAATCTTCTCATTTTCTTGCACTCTTTGTAACCCATTGCACCTTAAAGGCATTATCACTTTTCTTAAATCAATGAATCTATATTTTCGTTTTGAAGTTCTTGAAGGAATGCTAAGTGCTGACAAAATAAGTTTTCTTGTTTTGGCAGTTCAATTTTTTCATTATTTATTAACTTGAATCAACTGGGTATGGACTTGAAAATATGTTTGATCATTTAGTTCAATTTTAAGTAGATTGGTTCAAGTCAAGTTCTTTTTAAGCACCTCCTTATAAATATAAGTAAATTTTAAATATGCTGAGTATTTATTTTCTTTCTGTTTTTGCTCTCATGTCAAATTGTAAGATTATTGATTTTTGTCTCTGCAATGAAAATGCAAACATTAACTTATTTTTAGTATACTGATCTAAACCTATTTTTTTAATTTATTCTAGAAGAGACTTTATTATTTGTGCAAAAAAAAAAAACTGTTTAAATTTTCAAATGATCTCAAAGCAAAATTTTAACAAGTTGCTTTTTTTTTCTTTTTTTTTTTTTTTTAAACATTGCTTATTGCAGTTCTCAAGATGCATGTGGTTACCTGATTTAGCACACATGGAATCAAAGAAATAACCAGCCAATAAATTTCTTTGAATTATAGTGCAGGTTGTGAACTTTCTTATTGGTCGAATTATGAAACCTGTCTACCTCACCACTATAAATAGACTTTAACTAATTTAGCTTGTTTTTTTTTTTTTTTTTTTTAAATGAACTGGATTTTCATGTCATGGGAGCTTTTTTTTTTCTGGTATGCAACAGAGGAATCTCTGTTCTTAGTTTAGCATTGCTAGCTATACACAGGGTGCATTACAGATAATTTTGCTCTGGAAATGCACCGAGTATCATCTACCATGTATTCAATTGTGAAAGCAGAATAACACATCTATTTTCATTATGTCAAAGCTCCCAAGAAAATTAAATTTCAGCATTAAATGACCCATCATTCAAATCAAAAATTTACTTTCATTTTTCTGAATTTTTAAAAACTTTATAAATTTATTAGGGTTTTAATTTTGTTTTGCAGCACATGCACTAATATTGTGGGATAATAATTATTTATCTTAAATGAAGAATATATTTTCACACACACACACACACACACAGTGATATTTTTCCAAGTGTAGCTCAGATGTGGCACAAGGCTGAAAGTAAGGGGCATCCAGTGAAGATTGAACTCACAACTCGGTTGTAATTGTTCCTAGTGAGACAAGCTAGCTAACCTTTATACCACCTTGCAGTGCCCCACCACACACACACATATATATATATATATATATATATATATATATATAAGAAAGTGAACATAAGACGTCAACACTCAGGCGACAGGCTGTTTCTAGCATGAAATCAGGCATGTCGCCTGCATGAGTGTTGAAACATGTCCCTTTTTTATATTTACACACACTCTCACTGATATTGAGCACTTTATCCCATAAATATAGCACACCTTAAGCCTATATTTCTTTATATATATATATATATATATATACACACACACTTTTATCTTTTAGTTATGTAAATTTTTGTTCTTTCTTTATATATATATATATATATATATATATATATAAATTCGTGAGGAGGCACAATGGAGTAATGTATAGCAGCTTAGATTGAGGAAGCTGAGAGTTGAGTTCGAATTCCAGTCAAATCCATTACATTCACTTATGTGCTAATACCCTTGGGAAAGGTAAGGATCCTCTTCTTTTCCACTTAGCTATGGGTAAAGAGCAGGACTGACCGAGCTTTGGATGCCAACTGGTCTACCACAGAAAGAAATGGCAACCATAACTGGCTGATATATAATTCCAAGCTTTGAATAAGCAGCTCTAAATAGTCTGCCCAAAATTAGCCTTCTGGTATAAAAGTGCTCCATGCCATAAAAAAGACACAGCATTTGAATATTAATTCAATAACTGGCCACTAATTTAAGTTTCATGTGCTTGCACACAGTCTTCAGGTAGGCAGCATGCACATATATATATATATATATATATATATATATATATATTTATTTAAATTTATTTTTAATTTTTTTAAAACAAATAGAACAAATTACTTTGTATGCAGAATGCCTAAGTTCATAAAACTGTAAAAAGTCAGGTATTGATTTTGACAATATTATTAATAGGACTCCCACTTTTAAAAGGGTTAAAAAAAAAAAAATCAGTATTTTTTTTAATTCCAATTTCTTCATTTAGTTATACATTTTTTTTTTTTTTTTTTTTTTTTTTTTTTTTTTTTGGTGGCAATGTGTGAATGACAACCCATTAAAAATGGCTAATAAATTAGTTAAAATTGATTGGGACACTTTATTAAAAGAAAAACTATAAGAATATTAGAAAAGCTGACCCCCCCAAAGAAAAAAACCAAATTTTTCTTGCCTGACACATTTAGTGAAACCTTGAGCAGCAATATATATGAGGTCTTGTCAAAAGTATCAGGACTGTTGCTAGTGTTATGCTGAGTGAAGCCACTTGTCACACACTGGCATTAAACTCTGTCACGCATATACACTAAGTTATAATGTTCTTGTTCACTTTTGTTGTTTAAAGTAGTACCTGGAAGGAAAGTGTGCAGAGTGCGGTTGTCTTATCATACCACAGACATTCCCTCAGTGACCATGGCTAGTGTAGCACAAAATTCCCCATGTCTGACAAACACCATATTCTTCAGATCTCTCTACTTACGACTTTTTCCTCTTCAAAAATCAAATTCCTCTTGAAAGGAACAAGATTTCAAGACATTGAAAGAGTTCCAGGTATGCTTCCATCAATGGATAACATGTGTGACTTCAACAGGGAACTACTTCAAAGGAGATTAAATGCTGACTTGATGTGTGTTGTAGTTTTCTCTTTATAACATCAGTCCCGATACTTTTTGTTCAGCCTTCATATAAAAAATGATGGAGGATTAAAAAATCCATTTAAATATTACTGTTGGGTACACAACTGAAGTTAGCAGATATAGATTCCTACAAGTTCTGACGAGAGATGTATGATCCTTAAATAGGTAATTTAAACCTTGCACTATCTAGATGGTCTCTCATGGCTGGACCATAAAAGGGATATAGGTTTGCTTCTTGGTGGGAAGCACACTCTTCTTTAGTAGGACTTTTTGATCCAGGCCAGTTGTTATTGATTTCAAAAACGGGTTTAGCAATTCATATATGTACCCACTATAAATAACAGTAATATGAAATATATATAATCGCATGCCCTCTACACATGGTGTTGAAATGTTCTTGGTATTTTTTGGGGGGGGTTGTTTGTTTTTTATGGATTATCAACCTTTTGCAGGTTATTTAAAGTCAGAGTATTTTTGGATTGTAAGAATTTTGAAGGGAGTTAATGATTTACTGATACAAGTCCTACTATTTAACCCATAGCTGGTGGAGATAATGTACCTTTTCTAAGTGTATTTGCATGTAAGTGAATATAATAAACCCGACTGGAATTGGAACTTGGTTCTCAGATTTCCAATTTTGAGCCATTATCCATTACACCACACTTACATCCAAGCTTACAGCATCTGGTATTCCCAAGCTGTCACCTGTCTATGTACTGTCCAGGTTTGATGTTGCTTAAATTAGGCGATCAGACAAGAAATGGTGTTTCAAGAATGACCATATGAAGGTCTTGGTCTGATCCACTTAACCCAAATATGACCAAATGGCTAGATTTTTATTTGAAATTTTTTTTATTTTCCTTTAAGGACTTGTAGGTCAGAACCTCCTCATAGATGCGGAAATTTTGTATACCTACAATATATCAATGTATAATTCGGTCCAGAAAACCAATGATGATCTTTCCTTATTGATTGATTGATTGATTTTTTTTTTTTTTTGGTCTGGTTATCTGGCATGAAAACTGATCATGGCATTTGTACCATTGATCTTGTTGCTATGGCAACCATTGTTCCGTGTGGCTTGTTTCCCTCAGTTGCAACAGCCACATGAACAGATGGACATGATACAGCTCTTAGGTATTTATCAAAGGCATGACCATCCCTCTCTCCCTCTGGGTAGATACTCTCTCTCTCCATGTTGGCCTGAGAGGTATATTTCCTTCCTTACTCTTTTTTTCTGCTCTCTCCTCCTCCTCCTTACTCTTTTTTTCTGCTCTCTCCTCCTCCTCCTTACTCTTTTTTTCTGCTCTCCTCCTCCTCCTTACTCTTTTTTTCTCTGCTCTCCTCCTCCTCCTTACTCTTTTTTTTTCTGCTCTCTCCTCCTCCTCCTTACTCTTTTTTTCTGCTCTCTCCTCCTCCTCCTTACTCTTTTTTTCTGCTCTCTCCTCCTCCTCCTTACTCTTTTTTTCTGCTCTCTCCTCCTCCTCCTTACTCTTTTTTTCTGCTCTCTCCTCCTCCTCCTTACTCTTTTTTCTGCTCTCTTCTCCTCCTCCTTACTCTTTTTTTCTGCTCTCTCCTCCTCCTCCTTACTCTTTTTTTCTGCTCTCTCCTCCTCCTCACTCTTTTTTTCTGCTCTCTCCTCCTCCTCCACACTCTTTTTTTCTGCTCTCTCTCTCTCCTCCTCCACACTCTTTTTTTCTGCTCTCTCTCTCCTCCTCACTGTCCTTGTTAGACTTAGGTAAGTTTTCTCTCTTTCCCATTCTGTCTCCTTTAGGCATGTTTCATTTCTCACCCTCATAGCTATGTTCCCCTTCCATACTACCCCTCCCATTGTCCATACTCAGCAACTCTTTTTATAGATTTTAATATTGAGGAATTTGTTTGTTGTAAATGTGTTGGCTATAGAATACAAAGAAAGGATATGAAAGGCAATTCAAAGCTCTATGCTTTAATTTTATTTATATATATATATATATATATATATATATAATAATTGTGTATTTGGGAACCAATCCCTTTTCTAAACAAGTCTTATTAAATATGACTGACAAGGTACTGCGGTTAAGGTTTTTTATTTAATTTTTCTTGTGTTCTTATAATTTTCATCTTTTCTGTGTATAAATTACTGTAATTCCCCATGTATAATACGCTTTTTTTTCTAAAAATTAATAAGCAAAATTAGAGGTGTGTATTATGTGCAGATACCAAAATTCCTTTAAAAAATTGCCGCTTCATAGGTCGATTTCAGTTGCAAAATGACTATTCACCATAAACATCTGACAATTTGACACTAACATTTGGCGATTACAACTCCATAAGCATGTCAAATACAATTATCTATACCTAAACTTACAAATGTAAAATAAAATAAGAATTATCATAAAACTAAATTAGAATAATATTATTCTCTGCTTAAAACCATTTTTTAAGAAGAGTAGGAAACTCTAGCCATAATGAAAAAGGAGAGGTACAGTTTATAGGGTTTTATTACCAAAAAACGGGTGCGTATTATGTGTGAGTAGAAGCATTTTCTCACACTTTCAGCACAATTTTAGGGTGTGCGTATTATAGATGAAGGCATATTATACATGAGGAATTATGGTATGTAGAAATTTTTTTTTTTTATTTTTTTTTTTTTTTTTATACTTTAGGACTTCCCCAGACCAAAGTGATGTTTACATTGATGTAAATACATATATGCACAAAAGAGGGTGGGGTGCTGAAATTTTAAACTTAAAAATTTTTTTTTTTTTTTTTTTTTTGTGTTTAGATATATAGTCTAGCCAATTTAATTTATTTTTTTTTTTTTTTTTTTTTTTAAATTGTTGTTTTTATCACTTTTAAGGAAATATTCCATGTGATATCAGAAAATCTGCCAAGAACAGTGAAATGTAAGAACCTGGACGTAAATTTACTCTAGCCATCAAAATATCTGTTGCCCCACATTTATTCATCTTTGAGGAAATTGTCCAGCATTCACTGCCTCATAGGAGGATTGACATTACATCACAGTTCAACACTCTTTTCTTTGTTTCTATCAAATACAAATAATATAAAAAAAAACTTCTAGTATACGTTTTATAACTGTAGAATACTTAACGTCAAGTTACTCTACAAGTGCTACTAATATCATGTAATCCATTACTAGTCACAGTTGGGTCATTGGCGACTGAAGAGGTTCCCTCATCAGGCTTTTCTAGACACACTACAGGATTAGAAACAAGACCTGTCAGAGCGGGGAGGTGGGGGTTACTTAGGATCAACTATCATCTAACACAGTGATGTAGACAGGGCTTCTTTGCAGTGATGACACAGAACCACTAGGTGAAGTGCCTCCTCAACTACCCAAAATGGAATCGACGACTTTATGGGTTATTTAATGCTGAAATCTAAATATTTTGTACGTAATTTTATGCTTTCAACTTTTTGAGGCGTATGGTGGCCGTTAATAATTAAGTATGACTCAATACTTCATTGATAAGATAAAACAGTATTTAATTACAACCGCAAATAAATACTTAGCAAGAACAAAGAAGTAAAAGTCAACCAAAGATAATTAACTGTTTCAGTGATTACCTTGGTAGTAGCTCAGCTTAACATCCGGTAAAACCTAAATTGTCAACACAGTCAGTAGCCTGACACCGCTATTTATACACCTGTTGGAAAAAAATATATTCATAAGTCCAGAGTGTCACACTTGAGCTTCAGTGTTGGTAGTTACTTATTTTCTTCCTATATGACACAACTACAGATATTTTGTATATAATTTTATACTTTCGAAGTAAAGGTATGTTTTTTTTTTTTTTTTTTTTTTTTTTTAGATATGTAGTTTATAGGTCATAAAATGTATTGTTGGTATTTATACCGCTGTCACATCTAAGCCCCCCCTCCCAGTATTCCCAAGCGGTAGGTGGCAGTAAGGCAAGAAATCAGAATTCCACAGATGAAAAGTGTGACAGAAGAAACTATTGAATAGCGCTTAATGTTATATTTAGCTAGTTCAGCAAGGAAACAATGAAACCTAACTGCCAATCCTGTAGTACATTTGAATTCAGGCAGTCGAGATAGCAAGATCGAAAACTCGTTAGGACAACTGTCATGAAAATATATACATAGAAAAGTACAGAGGAAAGCCATGAAACAGTATTAGGAAAGTGACTAAAGTTGAGATGCCAAGTCAAGACTCCTCACATTACAGACCCTTCTTTTGATTTTGTCAAGAATCTCAAGAAATATAGCAGGAGCACCAGACCAGATGTAGCAGCAATATTCAATGCACAGATGAATGGCAGATTTATAAATGTGCAAGACACATTCTGATGAGAAAAATTATTTGGAACAAAGCAGTGAACCAACATTAGTAGGCCTAGCAATTGATGCAATATAGACACTCCAATTCATGTCAGTAGAAAATGCAATACCAAGAAAGCACAAGGCAGCTGCTCTCCTAGAGGTTAGCATCAGTCATGCTGATGGATTCAATATGATTAAAGGATGGCAGTCTTATTTTGGAGTTGTTAAAATTTACAAGCCATTTCTTGCCCCAGTTAACAACTTATTGGAGGCTGTTTTTGAGAGCAGCTGCCAGTTTTATTGGAATTATTATTAAGGCAAGAGTGATAGTTGTGACATCTGCATAAATGCTGATTCAGAAATTAGGTTCTTTTTTTTATTAGGTTCTTTTTTTTTTATTAGGTTCTTTTTTTTTTTTATTAGGTTCTTTTTTTTTTATTAGGTTCTTTTTTTTATTAGGTTCTTTTTTTTTATTAGGTTCTTTTTTTTTTATTAGGTTCTTTTTTTTTATTAGGTTCTTTTTTTATTGATTTGTTTTCTACGGCTTATCAAGCCTTTGCAGGTAATTTAAAACCAGAAAATATTTTTAGATTGTAAGAATTTTTTTTTTTGTAGTTTAGTGATCTTACAAATTCATAGCTAGGGGGAGAAGAGGTGGAATTTTACTTTTCCATACTTCAGTGAAGTGTACAGGAACTGGTGTTTAAATGTGATGTGGCTGATGCTACTTCTAGACTGGTTTCCAACCAAGGCTAAAGAGACCATTCTTCCTGTTTATTTAATCTACATATAGTGGGGTGCGTGTGTACAAAAGTTAATTTCCAAAGAAGTGATTGATTTTTAGTCATTAATCCAACAGATTTTATTACTTAAACATTTCTTTTAGTGGATACCCATTTTGAGTAGTTTATTTAGTAAACAGTATATTTATTTTCATCTACCAGTGTAAATATTTGAGAAATCTTATTAAATCTCTCTCTGGATGTGTGTTGTGCTGTAACAGAAATTGGAGGGCTGATTTTTTTTTTTTTTTCTTTTTTTTTTTTTTTTTTTTTTTTTTTTTTTCTTCTTCCTAAGTAGGTTAACTGACAAGAATGGAGCCCCAGGGTCGGAGAGGCACCACATGCACTGCAGCCACCGTAAAAGTGGTGTTTTTTAGGCACGATAGCCTGACGTAGCCCAACTCTCTCCAGGCTGGTTTTGAATTCAGTTTCCCTTCTTCTAGACTGCTTGCCACCCAAGGCTATGGAACTGTTCTGCTATTTACCCATAGCTGGGTGGAGAAGAGGATTCATACCTTTCCCAAGAGTATTTGAATATAAGTGAATGTAATGGATCCAACTGGAATTTGAACTTGGCGCTATGATTCCTCAATCTGAACAGCTATCTATTACTCCACTGTGCAAGTCGAGTATGTTACATTCATTTACATGCAAATGCCCTTGGTAAAGGTATATATCATTCTCTTCTCCCCCATCTATGGGTTGAATAGCAGGACAGACTGGGTTCTGTAGCCTTGGTTGGCAACTAGTCTACCACAGAAAGAAATGGCAACCTATTGTGGGAAAATCTTCCCTAGTCAGTCATGGATCAAAAGAGATATGATTGCCCAAGCATGTATATTTTAACAATTTTTTTTTTTTTTTTTAAGACATGGAGTGACAGGGTTTTAATAGATTTCTATTCTGAGGAAAAAATAGAAATCGATTAAAACCCTGTCACTTATTAGGTCATTTGTAGTGGTGTGCAGTGATATGAGTCTATTTTCAGGGTGTATGTTTAAATTTGTTTGGCCTTGAAAAATATTGCATCATCTGTTATTGCATCAGATTTTTTCCCACCCAGTCACTACTGTCTCGACTGTCGATTAGTTGTCCTATGGCTATTGTCTGTGCTGGATGCTACTCCAAGGAAGCGTATGAAAATTGTAACACTGCATAAACACACTATCAAGCCTTATCAGTGAGCAAATCAAAGTACTATATAGACTAGCCTGGAAACTCTCATGATTTAAATCCAGTTGAGAATCTGTTGTCAATCTGCAAGAAATGACATTGTGGAATGGACATATGAAGTACTAACATGTGCACTGGGTCATGTTGAAAAAAAATATGAAAAAAAAAAGTAAATAACTGAATTATTTGTTTTGTTTCAATTAATTTGCACAAGGGTGTATCTGTTTAATTTGTTTACCAAACATGTTTTCATAGGAGATATTTGCAACTGAAGCAGTTGCATCTGATGCAAGAAATAGTTTCTTAATTTTAATGTCTTCAAAACAAATCGGCTTTCTCTTTATTATCTTTGAGAACGTGATGCCAAAATCCACAAGAGTAACGCACAGTGCCTTCTTTGGTCTCATGCTTTCCACAAAAATGAAATGAAAAGATTATATTGAATCATTTGTTAAGTCTGCTGATTAAAAAGTCAGTTTACTATGTCATGTGAGGCAATTTTTCTGATGATCACATATCTTGTATAAGTCGGCCGGTCATCCATGCATTGAA